GGGGACCGCAACTGGATGAGGTAGTCCGTTTCCTCAGTTCGTTCCATCGGAATGATGCTTTGACAAGCCTCTGTCGTCACGCACTCCGTTCCGTGATTGCTGAGAAGAGTGGCTTGTCTTTCTTACTTTCCTTCTATTGAAAATTTAAGGCGTTCCGCTTACTTAACTTTTAGCGTGATGCACAAACTCGTGAGGAACTGCACAAACAAAAATTGTCAGATGCCACAACGCGGATAGAAAAGTTGGACGCCACAGCCGAAGAATCTCGACAGGCAATGCAACGTGAATTGGTACTGCTGCGCAATGAATTTCGTGACACGTGGGCCAAATTGGAATATCAGCTGACCACAAAGACACGTGACCTTAATGACAGCATTACAACCATCTCGAATCGGGTAAGTGCATGGGAACGTACTGGTTTGAATGTCAAGACCCTGGTTTTTGTGCGAGAGTGGCTTTCCCAGTGATTGATTTGTTGATTGCTTCCATGAAAGAATCGATTTCGACCGCCGCACAAAACGAACTGATTTTTTAATTGTGGTTGTTAGAGGACCGGAAGAACTCTCGTTTCAATTAGTTTACATGTTTCGGTCGGTCTTGAACACGTAGCTTCTACTAGAGATGACTATCCTTCTCTGTTTTGCATTCACAAACGCGAATCATTCCCTTTTTGATATTTATCTGAATGCCACTTGCATTTGAAGCCAAGGTGCCCACAGCTGGCTATGCAGTGTTTGGTTCTTGACTACCTCAGTCCGAAGCTGAAGTGAATTCTCGCTTGGATGATGCTCACAAAGCGCTGCTGTGCGCAGGATGATATAAGTTGAAGTTAGTCTCGGATGTATCAACCAGCCATCTGACCTAACTTGCTTCCTCCTTGCAAAGACTGGTCATGTGTGCCCCAGATATTCTCACCGTCATCATCGTCACAGAGGTTTTTGATCCGCTTTATTTAGGGGTTACTGTGGCTATTCTAAAACGTGTTTTTAGCCACTTACTAAAAAAACATTTGCTTCAGAATATCAAGGTAAACAGTGTTGCCCTAAAATCGCCCCCTGGAAGTCCAGTATTGTCTGTCCGTCACCAGAATAAACTGGTTCGATATCTGGGACAGTTATAACTCGATAGCCCAACGAACGGGTTCATTTTCATTCGAGGGCTAGACGAGTTAGAGTGAATAAATTTTGCTAGCGTAGCGTTCAAAGTCAATCGACAGCCTCAGTCAGTCACACCATCAAAAGAGGTGTGAATGGGCGTTCTTCGCACTGATAAGTCTTCTCTGCTGTTGCACTGGTACCAATCTCACTGTTCTTGTCTCTAAGCCAGGTATGTCTGCTCTGCGGATGCAAAGCCTGATTGACACTTTGTAATGTACTACTCATAAGGTTGCTGAAACATGAGGCGGCCTGGCGCAGCACATTCAGTTGCCTGAGAACATCACAAACGAGAGATTTAGCTGGGTTCCAGGTGAGTCTCTCGAGAAACCAAAATTAGTTTGCAAATGAGTGTATATTCGCTGATTCCGTGCAATTTGGTTTCAAATAGAACATAAGGTTGGCGGAAACTCGGGGACTGCGCCTACCTGATGAGCCCCAAAAAAGGGCGAAACCGGTCGTGGGCTGTCGACGGATTTTCAGCAACCTTATGAGTAGTACATTACAAAGATGTACATGTATCACGATATCTCGAATATCGTAGCGACTGAAACATCAGGTGGCCTGGTGCAGCACATTTAGTTGCCTGAGAACATCAAAACCGAGCGATTCAGCTGGGTTCCTGGTGAGTCTCTGGAAAAACCAAATTAGTTTGCAAATGATTGTATATTCGCTGATTGACACTGTTTGATAAACGACCTCCAATAACGGTCGGGTTTGAACCACAGACCTGCCGGTTAGAAAGTTCGCTCCCTAATCTCTGAGCAATCTCGAGCAAAGGCCATATCGCCAGGGTATTCAGACAAGACTTGATTCGAAACCCCGTACGTGTTATTCTGCAACAATCGGTGGTCGCGATCGATATAGGTTGAATCGATGTGCCGGAAACATGTTTACCGACTAACCAAAAACAACGACCGTCTTAGTTGTACTCCTCGTCTTTGAAACACTCAGTGACCTGATGCACTAATACGCAAAAGTGTGCCATTGTCAACGCTCTTGTTTTCTTTTTTGCCGCTGGCAGGTGAATTCAAGACAAACTCACGCTCGAAATAGTAGGTTTTCGTGTGACCTGTGTCTCATCGGTCGGTCACATCCATAACTATAATATAAGTTAATTGGTTTACTTTTTTTTGGGTAACCGTGATTCGCTCTGGCCTATCCGCTGTAAGCGCATTCGAACCAATCGTTTTAGATTGATCATTTTGAGGAAACAATCCAACCAACTGTCACCTCTCAGTTCGGATGAAGACTCTGATATGAGATAAGCCACACAGACTGTCGCTTTCATTGTGTGTCAGCCAATAGGTTAGTCCATTGATCCCAATGCTTGGCCATCCCGGCGTTCCACGTGTACTTTTTTTACCACTCAGCGAGTAGTTGACAAGCTGAGTCTCATAACCGCACGTTTGGTTTGACCCATGCGTCTGTTGGTTAGATACTTCAACCATTTGTGAACAGTGCACAGCAAGCATACACACTGAAATTGTGTAAGGAGAGTACTTTAGTGTTTAGCTATCAATGTCTGTGGGCTAGTGCCTTAGTTTGGTCAAGTCAGCAGTGCTCACCTGCTTCGAACAGCTTTCTTGCATGAGTAACTCACCTGAAGCGGTCCAGATGATCGACAAGTCAGCACCAACCGCTTCGAACAGCTTCCTTACATGAGTAACTCACCTGAAGCAGTCCAGGTGATCGAACCTCATAGGTCAACTTCTTTGTTCAACAGAGGATGGTCTTTATAGCAATGTCCTTTCCGCTCACACTCTGGCATGGTGAGTACGATTCAGTGCCTGACTTAGCAACAAAGTATGGCATCTCTGACCGACGAACTCAGCAGTTGCGTTGGTATCTGTCGTCCCCTCTGAACGAGACATTAATGGAAAGTGGTAATGTGGCTTATGCGCAGAGGCAAAATAGTGCTCATCTGTTAAACCTAGCCTCTTCAACCCATGGTGGTTCTAATTCCTACTCATGGGTACATTGGTAGACTAGACTGTCTACAACGTTTCGCTGTCCCCAGTGAAATAGAGTAGCGTCAAATCGAATGGAGCCGACGCGATTCACATACTTGATCCTCTAAGGTCTGAAGGTGCGGGGAGAGGGTAGACGATTTCTTCCTTTCGGCAGCGGTGTTGTGTCGCATAAGATTGGCAGGGGCATAGTAGAGTGTCGACGGATGACATTCCTTCCTCCCGGCTGCTAAGCTTTTTAAGTCAACAAACTGGCATCGTTACTAGCGGTCTTTGAACTGGTCAGTTCGTGGAGCATCTAACCGCCAGTTGGGTATTGCATCATCAATCGTATCATTTGAGTACGAACCCTGTCTTTTCAAGCAAGCAGCATCCGAACAGACTACTGAACCTGATTCTTGGTACTCCGACTCTATACTCCGAGAATCGGGCTCGTGAGTGCTGTGTTTTGGGGCGCGAACTTGCCGACCGTAAAGTCCGAGGTTCGAATCCAGCCTCTGTATCCCGACTGCTCATATCTGGGTTTGGGCAACTTAGTAGTATTTCAGCCTTCGGGCAGTATGGCAACTATGCACCTAAAGAGCACTACAACTGAAAGAGTACTATTCTATCTTTATCTTCCGAGATAGGTGAGATGACCCAAGCGGTTAGGGCGCGAATTTACTGACCGCAAGGTCCGTGGGTCGAACCCGACCTCTGCCTCTCGACTTCCCCTGCCTAGGCTTGGGCAACCTGGCAGTATCCCAGTCCTCGTGCAACCTTTGGGTGGCATGGCAGTTAGGCACCGAAAGCGTGCTACAGCTGGACGATCTTAGAATCGGGTCCCTGTAACCATCAATGCGCCTCTCTTCACACGCTGCAGCGTATAACCACCATTCCTGATCACTAGCATTCGTACCACCGTGTTCGATCTGCAGTGTCCAAGTGAGGTGTAGACACCTGCGGGCGCCTGTGGTCTGTTTGTTTCTTTTAAAACTTTTAAACTTGGCTTAAATCAACTTCGCCGTTTTTTTCGTTTTCAGGTTACCATAATTGAAAAGCCGTCTGAGCAACATGGTGGAGCTGTTGCCAACGGTTCCGAACTGTCCCGAATACGACACAAAGTCCTTCACTACTTGACCGATATGTGTGTCTCATTGTTCGCGCTGTTGACTATGTTGCTACAGGTGCTCATTCGGTGTCTCAATTTGGGTGCCGTTGTAACAGAAAATCGGTGAGTTTTTGAATCGTTTGTGTTCCACTGGTCAACTGATGCGGGGAGGGGGCTGCTTTGTGGAAGGCCGTCAGGCGTCAAACAAAAAAACACCACCTCATGTGTGCGTTTATTCTCTCGAAATTGGGTCTGTATGTCAGAATTTGTCCGAGAAAGCGAGTTAGACCGGTCCCAGAATGCAACCAAATAGCCTCGGCGTTCATTGACCCTTTTTTCTTGGTGGAGCTAGACTAGAACAAGCTAAAAACAAGTTTATAATTGTATAGACGCAATATACTACTCATAGCGTTGCTGAAAAAATTCTTCGACAACCCACGACCGGTTTCGCCCTGCTTCGGTCTAATCAACAGTCGTCAACCTTTGTTCAACTTGAGACTGAGTTGTGAAATACACTCATTTGCTTAAAACATGTTTATATTTGATTTTATCGAAGATCAAGTAGATCTCACTTTTCAAGAGACGCAAAGTGGACTTACGAGAAATCACACTACTCGAATGCCCCCCTCAGTCGTAGTATCACTGTTACACCAGGAACATCTTAGCATGAGGACCACTGTGGTCGTGATACATGGTATCGTCATCACCTGTGGTGTGATTATAGGTACCGCGTTTTCATTAGCCGAATATCTGGGGAAGTGCGGGTGGATGGCTATGCATTGGAGGCGGCAGTTGATATGATTGTTGCGTCAACACAGGGGGGTGAGTGTGCGTTTCCTTGAGAAGAACGGGAGGCGAAGCTACGCATTGAAGGGAACAGCTTGGATGCATGTGTACGAAGGGGCCATGTCTGCTAATGTGTCTAACCATTGATTTGTTTCGTCTCGAGGTCCCCATCCAAGAAGACGGCAAGGTGTTTTTCACGCACTCTTTTTGAAGACAGGAACGACCCTCACCACGTCCCATCCTATAGGCGCTTTCTTTTCACTCAACATAGTGCCAATGGGTTTTGCCAGGTGGGAGTTCTCCGCCTTCTTTGTAAAGGGCTGGATACATGCCGTTCGGTCCTGGTGCCTTATCACGTTTCAGCAGACGTGCGATTAAGGCTTTTGTTCAGGGGATTTCACGGTGAACAGTCATCCAGAATGACCATTGTGGCTAGTGGATTCCAAACGTAATTCCCGTTCAGTCCGCTGGAGTCGATTCATATTCCTCCCCCCTAGATGCGCAGCCAGTGCTCCATCAGACAGGTTGTAGTCTCCCATCTCTGAGTGCCACCACATGTCAACCGTTTAATATATCTGCGTACGTAGACTTGATACGTCCTTAGACGGCCTTGGGACTAGGCATGATAGTATTGTTAGTTGTGAATATCATGGTCTGGTTGGGATACTGCCAGGACGCCCACACTTAGACGGGAGGACGATTAGTGTCCACATCCAAACCCTCTGGCTCAAAGGCCTAACCGCAAGGCAGTGGTGTTTGGCTGGAAGGGCAGATGCATTACCACTTTTACGGAACAGGCCGCCACGCCCATTCCCCCTCCCCAATCATCGGTGGACGAAACTGCGGCAGCTACCACCACTGCATGACGAGTACGCGGTTATTACAGCTGACAATGATGATGATGTTCCCAAGCCCCAGCCTGGAGAGCCAGGAGACTGTGTTCGTCACATATCTACCCATGGACCAACCTAGTATGAGAGACTCTGTGAGTGTCGCGCAGACACCCCCAGTATAGCTCAATGGGTCGCCGAGGTGTACAAATTGTCACACCACGGTAAGACCCAGTCTCTTTGACGTTGTCCCTTTATGAAAAAACGGTGTTTTAAAACGTTTGTTTCAGTGCCCACGGTCTGATCTCAGAGGTTCGAAAAACATGACTAGGGTTAGCGAATATACACTCATTCGAAAACTAATTTAGTTTTTCGAAAGACTCTCCTGGTTTTGATGTTTCCAGTCAACTGAATGTTCTGCACCAGGCCGCCTCATGTTTCAGTCGCTACGATATTCGAGATATCGCGATACATATACATTTTGTGATGCACTACTCATGAGGTTGCTGAAAACACCTCGGAAACATCAAAACCGAGAGATTCAGCTGGGTTCCAGGTGAGTCTCTCGAGAAACCAAAATTAGTTTGCGAATGAGTGTATATTCGCTGATTCCGTGCAATTTGGTTTCAAGTAGAACATAAGTTTGACGGAAACCCGGGGACTGTGCCTACCTGATGAGCCCCGAGAAGGGCGAAACCGGTCTTGGGCTGTCGAGGAGTTTTCAGCAACCTTATGAGTAGTGCATTACAAAATGACTAGGATCATTTTCCCTCTGTGATGCTTATTTTGATGTGGCTGCGGAACCACCTGGCCCAAACACTGCTGATTCCGTTAATTTCTATTCTGTCTCTCCGGCTTATAGTCAAATGCGAAAAGTTGCACTTTTAAAGTCTGTCTTTATAGGTGGTGACTTGTACAAAGTAAGTGAGAGCACTATTAGTGGGTTTGAAATCTTATAATCATGATACTGTTTGGAATACAGGATGCTCACGACCCGTAGTCGGCTATAATCCACTGTCAACAAGCTTAATAATGCGGTTTCATACATAGTCGATCTGTCCGCCCCGGTTGGCAATCCTCGCCAGTCGAGGTTTGGTGACGCATATGTAGCACGTGTGCTAATGGTTACTCCCACGTGATCTTGCACCTTCCGTCTGTCACTTTTTGTTCGGAGGGACTACGGTGTCTTCCGACCGTGTGGTTTCACAAACGCCTCACCACCCGAGTAATGCGTACTCCGAAACGAAGGAGAGTCCCGCCATCTCCGAATTGTTCGTTACTGGAAGAATCAGTCAACACTGGATTGGACGACGTGAACTAAATGACTATACCCTGTCTGAACTCAGTTAACTCAAACCGCTTATCTTTCGATGCCCGAAGGGTACAGTGTTTGCCAATACCGAGGCAGCCGTAAGATGCGCGCAACCAATGATTAGATCGAGTTTTATTTCAGCATGAAATCTCAGTTGCCCACTCCAAACGCTTATGGAAACTGTAGCATTCGGAGCGCATGCCACAATGAGTCGTTGGGGTTCCGAAATGCACCCACACTCAACATCTGAGGTAACGATCATGCTGTATCGTCTACTGGGCCCACGATCCAGTATAGCTCAACGGGGATACTGTTGCGATTGCATGCTTAGAAGTTTCTTCTCACAAAAGAAACAAAAGTGACTCTGCTGTGCTCTGCCCCGATTGTTTTCTGTATTGTGTGGATACCATTGTATTAGAAAAGACCTCGGTATGAATGGCTCAGGGGGGTGGGGACACTTAGAACTACTGACACTGTCCTTTACTCGGGTTGCTAGCTACGTAACGGTGATACTACTGGTGGGAGAGGCATGTGAGTAGTATGTTTTCTTGTAAATTCGCTTTGCATCTCTTGAAAAGGGAGATCTATTGCGGAATTAGTGGAGTAACATGTGCTTGAATTTGAGCAACAGTCAATGAATATCCAGGAAAGTTTAGGAAGACGCGTTCAAAGAGAATATGGATATTCAATTTTTGTAAACAAGATGCACATGAGAGTTTTGCTTCTCTGTCCAACAGTCTGTAACTGTTCAGTTGGCATATTCTAATAAATAACTCCGTGGCGAAGGCCTTCTTTTCACCGGTAGCTGATATCAGGATGAATTCATGTGAACCAACGTATTCGTATTTGGACGTAGAAGTTTGGTGAACCCTCGAAGTCGACGTGTATGTACATGCAGTCGGGTGGAAAACAACTCAAGTGAACTCGCACCACGGACTTGGTGTTTGTCAGACGGATTAGCTGTTGGTCAGTGGCTCGAGTTTACCTTCCAGAGGTGTTCATATTTCATAAGCTGTTACTTCATTCAAGCATCTAAGAGTAACAGGAAATCCTCGGTAGAGCACCGATCCTGTAAGCGGGGTTCTCTGGTTCATGAAAACCGTTGTCAGTCCAAGACGTGGGCTGTAGAATACGTGATCCCCGATGCCACACAGCTTGAATTACCGTTATTTCTCAATTGGCTTACATGCTGGCCTAGGTTATCACTACTTCTTGGAATGTTCAACCAGGCACATTCTTTCAGTTTATCCATCCATCGTCTGTCTGGATCATTTCACAAGCACACGTTTGTTTTGTACATGTATGGCATGCATGTCTGTGACCTTTTAAGCCGCGATCATATTCGACAAACCAATGGCGGGTTGTGACAGAAATTTTAATGATTGTGGGTGTTACTTCGGTCATCGCCTTCCAGCTATGCAGTCGCTATGTCGAGTACCAAACCAGCCGTGTCTCGCTTTTCTAGGGTCAGTCACAGGCCCCATGTTTGGTCCTGGCGTGTGCATGTGTGGCAACCGCGTCTGTTTTCTATCACCCTCACTAGAACCGCACCAGATCGATCGTCGTTCAGCTTTAGACTAGTTGCCATGTCAACGGAAGGGGGCTGGAGTACTTTCAGGTTGCCTAGACAAGAGAAGTCAAGATGCCGCGGTGGTTTCGAACCACGGACCTTCCGGTCCGTAAGCTATTGCCTTAGCCACTGAGCTATCTCGAACCGCACGACAGTCGGATAGATATATACGTGATGCTCTGACCAACAGCCACCAACTAGAATCACCGTAGCGTTCCTGTGAATTATGTCGTTCAGTGTCACATTTTACTTCGTAGACTTCTCGTGTTTACTACTTGAAGACGTCCGTTGAAAATTCTGGAAATACTGATATCAGAGCACCTCCATCGTGCGCTGGTCGCAACCTTCCTCCGTCATTTACGATAATGCATCCCTATTTTCAGCTTTAAACTGAATGACCTCACACCAACGGATACACACACACACCCTCTCTATCCACTTTCAGCACTCTTGCGCTCTGTTTTTCCATCGTCTTGGCTGTCGGATTCATCTTGGTCTACATTTCCGAACCACTGATTCACAGTCTCGGTGGGGTACCCTCCGGCAACTTTTCCTCGATCCCTTCCACAGGAACTGCTTGGCGGGACACGCTTATTACAATCCTGTCGTTCTTCCGCCGTTTTGCTCGCGGTTCATCATGACAAACCTGGGCTGGTCGATCGCAGTTGGTCAGACAACCACACTGCAAACCGGGCACGGATCTCAAGCAACTTGCCAAGTGTTTGAACAGACATCTGTTCTTTTCTCTTCTGTCCGATGTATACTCCTTTTGCACAGAAAAAAGCACATGACACCAGACGTGCCGATTTCCCCGCCTTTAGCCTCAAGCTCGCTTGTTTTCAGTTTCGGCACGTTACCCTCTCTCTCTCTCTCATACTCCGTTCTTCCAGTCATTCCATCATCTTTCCGATGTGCGCCTCCGTCCACCTTTCGCTCCCCGTACTATCTGTCTTATTCGCTTTCAGATCATTTCGATGCCTGTCCACCTGATGACATGTTTACTGATCAGATAATCAATCAATTGGTGGCAGCCGAGAATTTTTGACGTGCATCTATTTATTACTGGTACTTGTCTGTCGCCCACCTATTTTCATGCTTTTTATAGGTTTTATATCCTTAGGCACAGCGCCTATCTACCTACCCGTCCCCCCTCCGCAAATCAACATGATTCCTTCATTGTCTTGTGCGCAATTGCGTGATCCACTGCTCCCATCTGGTTGGGTTGTTCCTGGAGCCTTCTCCTGTCCAATCCGACTGTTGTTTTGAGAGACACCCCACACAGTTTCCTGTTCGTTCTCAGACACTGTTTGTTTGTTCCTTCCTTCCTTCTATCCATCCATCCATATGATTCGATTATTTTTTGAGTTGTGTTCTTTGTGAGTTCATCCGTCCAGGTTTCGTTGTCTTTCATATTCTCTCTTTCTCTCTAATGTGTCCCACTCCGACCGATATCCGATTCTCAGACATTGTTTGTTCCTTCCTTCCTTCTATCCATCCATCCATATGATTCGATTATTTTTTGAGTTGTGTTCTTTGTGAGTTCATCCGTCCAGGTTTCGTTGTCTTTCATATTCTCTCTTTCTCTCTAATGTGTCCCACTCCGACCGATATCCGCTTCCGGGACGTCGGTCAGTACAGCGAAAGATTGATCTATTCTCTTATCCTTGTTCTACTGACGCGATTTGGACTGTACCGTTCCGTGTCAATTGGCTGCGCTCCAAATATCTGATTCCTGCCTGCTAATTTGCTGCGCTCCAAATATCTGATTCCTGCTAGCAAAGAACGCCCTTCGCGATTACTTATCTGACAGCTTGAGGTGTCTGGTAGGTTGTTGGATTGAGTCCCTCGATACGCTAACTTACTGACCAGAAGTTTCGTGGTCCGAGTCCAACCCTAGCATCTCGATCGCTCCTGTCTAGCTTGAGCAACTTGGCGGTGCTTCATCCCTCGTGCTTCCTTCGGGTGACATGGCAGCTAGGCACCGGAAGGGTGCTACAGCTGAACGATTTTTTTCGATTTATTTTACGACCTGAAATCAACAGTGGGTGTACCGTTAAGCTGTGAACCCAGCCATTCAACGACTGGATATGACATCAGCTCCAGGGATATCTAAGTTTCGGGAAGTGACGGGTGTTAGCGATCACTTCATTAGCAATACTGTCGCCCAAAGCAATGCAAATCTGTTTAGGTTGACACAAAGCTTTGTGCTGTATCCACTCAGCCGTAGGATTTCAGTTTAAGATACGAAGATGTAAGATTAATTCCAAACAAGGAAAGGTTCCTGTACCTCGTATTTGGGTGGAATCATAAACAAGTAATCATGCCTCCACACTCACTTAAAGTGGCCAGTTTGATCACACTTGTGCCCTGAGTATTGCTGAACCAAAACACAGACGTAATTGCTATCCAAACTGTCTGGCTAATTATGACTAGGTAGCACTTCTCCGAAGTTTCTACATTACCCGCCAAACATGAAATTCTGTTACACTTTCTCAAACGGATTCGAGCATATCTAGTCGTTTACTTTGCAAACTACGGAGCTTTAAACGTCCATCGTATGCCTGGGTCGATCGCCCAGACTCATGTTATTGCGCTTTTACATGTCCTTTCGTAGCAGTACATCTGACAGATACGATATAATACAAAAATGTTTCGGGGCTTTCGATGTCCCTCTGAGCGACAGTTTGAGCTCAAGTCGCATATCTAGACACCTGGAGTAGCTGAGCTGCACTGAAGCGGGGCTTGAATGCCCCAGTCACAAGCTTCTATCATCTTAACGTTTCTAAAGGTCTTATGCTTCCAAGTTATCTTTCGTGACCGTTTGTATGACTTATATGTGGTCAGCGTGTCCAATCCCAATCGGCTCGGTAAATTCAGATAGGTCTGGTGAGGAGCTTCCAAATAAAATGAGCCCGGTTCTCACTAAGATCTCGCAAGTCAGTTTTACCGGTGCTCCAATGCACTTTCAGGTTCATTCGACCATCTGCCTTCGATTTAGCTCGGTGGCGCTGAGCTGAGCCGACACAAACTGCTGGCAGTGACTCAAGACTGTGATATTGAACATCATTAAGACGAACTGGGCTCTTGGTTCTTAGCATCACCCAGCTGACTTGAGCAGCCAATGATTAAAATGGTGTACCCAGTAGAGAGAATGTCGAGAAACAAGAAACGCCTCGCAGTCAGATCAGTAAAGGTCACAAAGTGGATCCCAGAGTGGTCAAGGACAAAGGGCACGTGACCATCAACCAATCGGGACACTACATAATAGACCGACCAATGGAGCCGCCCGACCGAACAACCAATCGCCATCGATGGTCAACTCCGATTAGCAGCTCGTATATTACCGCATTCGCTATATTTCTCAGCGCACAACCACCGATCCATCGCTACGTTCCCTAACAACGCATTGATTCCACCTCTTGTCAGCAAGATCAGATTCCCGAAAGTAACCCCGGAACGCCTGAGACCCTAGAACTCTAACGAAATCTCAGTAGGGAAGCCGGTAAGCATCTAGGCTAATCAATCATCCAGTCAACTCGGCAAAAGCCGATGAGTGTTCAGGCACGCTACAGAAGCACGACCGGATACGATCAGTGCTCAGGCAGTCCATAGAAGCACGATCAATATTGATGATGAGTGCTCACTAAACGCCCATCAGACAGTCTGAATCAATGTAAGTAAGCCTTTGCACTTACACGCCCTCGCTTGTAGCAATAAAGCTCTCGTGAATTCTTTTCCTGGCATCAGGCACTGGAGTGGGAACGGCAGTCAGATACAACTCCTTCATTGGTAATGAAACGTGTTCAATCAAATTGGTCTGCTTAGCGAACAAACAACGACCAGAAGAATATCGATTATCTTGAGACGGGGAATACCTATACACACACGACTAGCTGTCTCAATATGTTTTGTGGGCTGGTGGCCACAGGAAGGCGGCTCCAAGACCGTCGTGAGCCGCAGAACAATGAGACAGCCTAATACAGTAGTATATAGTGTAGTACAATGCATGTAAAAGAAAGGCGAGTTATCCATTGCGAACATAGAGAATAAGTTCTCGAAAATCCAGACTAGGGTCTTCAAGTGGTGAGCAAAATAATGCTGCTATAAGTTTGAGAGAGGATGGATACCAACCGCTGTCCAGCACCACAGCATAAGACGTGTGTTTCGGTGTGTGAAACACGCCGAATGTTTGATGTAATTCCGTCTATGACCTTGGTGTCACGTGCTGCGCCACAATGCACGCTTTTTTCTTCTGTGTTGGGAGATCAACTGTGCGGATGTTTCGTTTTGTTTGGCTGTACATTGTCCCAGAGCTTTTCCGGAAGCGCAGATCACCGGTGAATATCAGAACACATTGAACGTGATCTTTTGCGCTTGTAAGATGTCATTTCAGACATCGGTTTTTGATGTGATCATCGGATGTAACAACCCTAGAACAGACTAGCAGACCGGCCTGGTTATGCAGTAGCCATGATTTTGTGAAGTGGAATACATTTTAAAAAAAATATGGTGGGGTATTGTTCTCAACACAGTGTGTTGGATTTGCGTGGCTTCGAGTAAAGTTTGATTGCCATGAGGTGGTACTACCGAATGAAGTTCTGGGGGTTGCGCTGAGATGCCGTTAAACGCTGCATCACCGTGCTTATCACATTGATAGTGTAGTCAGTTGATTGCCATGGTACTACCGAATGAAGTTCTGGGGGTTGCGCTGAGATGCCGTTAAACGCTGCATCACCGTGCTTATCACATTGATAGTGTAGTCAGGACTGACTGTCGTTGCGCCCTTGAAATCCGGTTTCCTGATTCGATTAGTGTCCCACTTCTACCCAACCGTCGTTTGCTAGGATCCGTATGTCTTTTATTCGGAAACAATACCCTCATATAGACCACCCGGTGGAAAGAGCGCAAAGGGAGGCTTTGTTTGGGGATGACCTTAACAAGATGGAGCAGGTTATCTCATAAAACATTTTGTATTCTCGTGACGATTCAGTTACAAATAACGTCACAACGAATCAGGTACGGTGTCTTTCGAACGTGCTTGCCACACGAAGGTTTCAGCCCTGTCCACGAGTTTGAGAATGAACGTGATCCTTCTACAGAAGGCATTAATTCCAAAAGCTGTCGCACCATCGACTATTCCATCTATGTCGGTTCTGTTAGTAGTACGCTCATCAAGGAAGAAAAAGTGTGCAGGTCGATCGAAACTGCGAGGATATTATCAACAGAGAATCATCTATAGTCTTTTCTTTCCCTTAAGCGACGTTGGACTGAACTATAACGGAATCCTAGACACTTTAAGAACGCGCGTACTACTACTCGTTTGTCCGAGTCATCCACCTCACAGACCTTCACCCGGTTATCCAGATATACAGAAGCCCATTTGTTTTCTTAGCCCCATACCTACTACTCATAAAGACGTTGGAATCCATTGTTGGTTTTCCCCTTCCTCGGGTTCATCAGATAGGTCTAGTTCCTGAGTGTACACCGAAACCTGGTCGTTGGTTACAAGTAAAGTAAGAATTCACTCAAAAAACGGTCACGCTGTCAACTCAGGAGATCTGCTTGTTGTTTTCAGCAATCTAAGTACCATACCTCCCCCCTGCCGGTCAGCCTATCCCGCCCACTACAACACACCATGCGTCGAATCTTGTTCAACCCATCCCGGTGGAACTTGTGGTGACAGACTAAACAGAATGTGCGATATTTGGTATTGTTGGCAGGTGTTTTAAGGTGAGAAAGGGCGTTTGAGCCGCGTCGTTCTTGGGACTGGACCAGGTATCATATGTAAGTATTTTCTCGACGGAAGATGCTACTCAGAAAGTTGCCGAAAACTATTCAACAATTTCATCCATTTTGCCCTTCTTGAGGCTCATCAGGTAGGCGCGCAGTCGCAAGTTCCTTCGGTCTTTGTAAATGGGAGACCCAAATGAATCCTCGTCGAAGCCGTGCATACTGGGTGTGCTTCAAGGAGGCTGAAACTGGTCGTGGGCTCTTCAGCAACCTTGTGAGTAGTATGTTCCGCAGGAAAATATACTGCGATATCTTGAATATCACACCACCTGAAACACTAGGCGGGTTCAGCGTTGCGCATACACTTGAAGAGATACAATACCCAGGAAATTCAGTAGCAATTTAGTTGAGTTTCTAATCAACCCTAAATTAATTTGTAATTCATTGGATTTCACTTCACGATGGACGGATTTTATGGGTGACAAAATTATCGAGAATTTATAAAGCATGCGTGTACCAAGTACGCTCGGCTGCTGAGGAAACACGAACAAACACCAGTATACAAAACATAGCTATTTGTACAAAGAATACTGTCAAGTTATCCCGGTAATTTGCCTTCCCTGTTTTGCTGGAAGAATGATGGTCCCACTTAGTCTTTTAGTGGAGGGTGTCTTCATGTGCGGCGGGGGGGTATCAAAGTGATAGCGTTTCTCTTGGACGTGTGATAATTCTTCATGAAAAGTGACGCAAGTTTTGACGGCAAAACATTCTATCGTTTTGAACCATGTTGGAAGTGAGAACGACAGTGGCAGGAAATCGCAGTTCCAAAAAATCTAGACTCTAGATGGTTTGGAACGGAAGCGTGCGATTGGCTATCCTCTGGGATAAGCTAAATAGGACGGAAATGAAAAGTGATGTCACAGTCGGGAAGAGTTGTGTGGGTTGATGAGAGTCGACATGCGGAGGCAGGAAACAGCTATCGCGTTGACATATTAATCAATACAATCGATTAGCTCACTCGTTTACGACTAACCATTGGTGGACGCCCACAGGATGACAAAAGTTTGAATTCAGTGACGCGATACACCAATTTTGCCCACATCAGACGAGAATAGTTGTATTTGTATCAGTCTGAACGGTAGTTCTGGTGAAATCCCACCCCATCTATATTCCGGGGAAATTACGTGAACGCGGACAGATTGAACGAACGACAAACCATTCAAGCAGTTTCCTCACT